TTTGTTTAACTGATTCATGGTAAAACTGAGTGCAGTATTGCCCATAACATAATTACCCATTACCACATGGGTAATACATTCAAAAAACCTCAAGATTATTATCCTCTCTTTTCTGTATTGTGATGATATTATGAAAGTTACAGAAGATATATGGCACAGACTTGTCTATGTTAGATAGATTTTACCTGAACACATTTTAAGGTCTTGGCAATTTTCAGTCACTAGAAGACAACCACAAGGGAATGGCTGCATTCAGTCCTGACTGAACATCTGGCATGGTAGGGGACTTTTAAATTTATGACTGTTTCTTGGTTTTAGTTACCATGTCTCACGTTTTACTGAAAAACGTCTAAAGAATTCTACAAAATTGCTCCTGCTACACTGAAATTCAACTGATTTCTTTCTGAGTAGAAAATTGAGGAGTATAACATTTCTCAAATAGTTTGGGCTACCACATATCTGAATTCAGTTTTTTTTCCACATAAGTTCACTAAGAGAACCATGAAATATCAGCAAAGTATATGCTATAACTTGTACCTTTGCTCCATCTGAGGAAGACTTAGCTGAATCTGGCTCAGGGAATTGAATAGTCCATGGTTTTGATTGTTTTGAATGTCTACATGAATATTGAGAGATAGCAGATGGAGTTTGAGTCAAAATGACGCAGTCTGAGATTTGATAATTGGTATTTGTTACCTATCTTATTATCAGCTTTTAGCCTCTTTTCTCAAATGTGTTAAAAATGTAAAGGGATGTAAAGCTGTTAATAATTGATCTCTGCCTCTCTGTTCCTTGCACATGCATACTTAACCAGTAGAACAGGGCAGAACTTTCAGGAGAGTTTCCCTCATGACACTCACCTATGCCTCTGGAATCATCTCATGAATTCAGAATGGGAGGTTGTAGCCAAGGTCTCCCTTTCCTAACAAATATTTTCATTTACTCTCTACCATGTGATAGTCTCTATAGTGTATTAATTGGTTCTGCTTGTAATCAACAAAGCTGAGGATTTCTACTCTAAATGTGCAGAAATAACAGAAAAACATGGCTTACTCTTGCTTGAATTATATCCAGTCCTGTATCTCAATAATGAAAACAGAAGTGGGAGGGTTATCAAACCAAATGAATAATTTATAAAGTATCAAATCTATCCACATGCCAAACAAGAAAATCATCAAAAGGGAACATGAGTAAAGCCTAATGTATGCACCAGAGAACTGTGCAGTGTTGGCATAGTTCAAAGATATGAAACAATGAACTGTGGTGAGGCTGATTTCTTGAAGATATTGGTGAACCAGGTTCCAAACCACCTTATAAAAATGTAATAAACAATAGATTATATAAACAAAACTGTGAATCTCAAAATCCTTGATCAATTTAATTTTCTGAGGGAAAAGTGTGATCATATTTTTTGTGTGTTTTTCATTTTGCTTGTATTTTAGACCACATAATAGCTTTTGTCAGAAAGATATACGCCAGTTTCCTCACATGGCTTTATAATGTATCCCACATATGGACCAAAAAAGCAGCACATCTCTTTCATTGGTCTCCAGGCCTTCTAATTATTTCCTGTATAATTATAAATGCATACTTACTTAGTTTTGCAAAGAAAATATTTATCATTTTTCAAAAAGGTTTTTTTAAAAAATATTAAATTAGGATAAATTAAAATTAATCAGTGGAGATCAAATATCGTAAGGGAATTTAGTTTCCCATTAAAAACAATTTCTATAATATCCATAAATACCCATAATTTTACTAAAACCAGTGAATACATTTCAGGCCATTCAAAGCTGTCTAGAATTAAAAATGTTATTCCAGATAGAGACTAGGATGAATGCATAATTTATTCATGTTAATTATTGAGGTTGAAGAGGGAATTCAGCGCTTCAATGTGAATGAAGTTTTCGATACTAAGGGCTGAGTCCTTAGATAGGTTATGCAGAGTCTTGCAGAGGCTTTCTACTAGATTATATAAATTGTTGTAGAAACCATCAGAAAGATCAATAGAACAAGTTTTCTCATTATACATTATAGATCTTAATTAGTGTATGATCCAGCAGCCATTAGTATCCAGATAAACCATGCAGTTGTGAAAACTTAAGCATGTAGAAGATTGTTAAATTTTTCTGGAAAGAAAATAATATATTTATTAGGAAAAAACCCAACTTATTGTCATATGGAACAGGAAATAGTGGTTTAACAGCATGGTAATAAATAATGCTTTTAAAGACCTTCTCCAGATATCCCTGAGGCTGCTGAGTCATTCCAGGACTGTGTGTACTGAAAGAGCCATGCTAGTGAGCACAAAGTGGAATTTAGTTGTTGTGTTCACCACTGTGTCTATCTACCCAAAACAAAAACTGTGTTAGCATTCACAGCAATCTGCAGAAGGAGCAGGCAGGCTGTAAGCAGTGTGCTGAGCGCCTTCTGCTCAGTTTATTTTGTGTGTAATTGGACTGTTATTAGAGTTTTTAGCCTAGTTCTGCTGAATGGCTTCCTTTCCATTGTTCTTTTTGACCTTCTAATACAGATGTAGCCAAAAAGGGACAGTTTGGGCCTCAGTGCAATTCAGACTGTTACTGAAAAACTATGGTATAACTGGAAACTTTGGTTTAACCAAAGGAATTCTGCTGTAGATTAGTTTGGGAAAAAAAAAGTATTCATAGCCTTCATTTCACTGTCTCAACTACAAGTTTTGAGCATCCTCTCCATATCTAAAAAATAAAATCAAATAAAAGAAGGAATTTTGAAATGTGTTGTGATTTTTATTCCAGTTAAAAACCCTGTTTCTGAAGGGCTTTCTGTCAAGAGAACTAGTGATGGTGTCAAGGGTGTGATGTGCATTCCTGTCAGGTGGTAATACATTAACTTGTATTTGTAGCTCTCAAATTTTGCAGAAAAAAAGTAGCTGAATTATTTCTCATGGTTTTCTGTTGCACAGCTAAAATGAAATCTTAACCCATATTTCTGTAAATGTTAGTTTAGCACTTAGAAAAATTACCCTGTAGTTTAAAGTAGGATGTGAAGATTGTGATATCAGATGAATTCTAGCTAAATGATTCTGTAGGTAATTGATGTTAGCTGAAGGGCCATTCTGTCATTCTGTCTGTAGAACATTGATGCACTTTTAAATGATTATCTCTGTCAGCATCCACTGTCACAGTACTATATGAAGATGATGTTAGAAGGGCCGTTCTTCAGCTCCTGCATTCAAATTCTCTTTGAACCGCCATCCTTTTGCTTTACAGAATGCACTTATGGAATTGAACTTATCTTTTGTGCGAAATAAAGTAACATTACAAGTGTAAATTGAATTTTCTCTGTTATTTTGAAATAAATCCAGATCATAAATTGAGATAATTCTCTGTTTATGAAGGCTGTCCAAAATACATGTCAATTAAGAGGGACACATGTGGTAGGGCATAGGCTTTTTACTGACTGTTACTGAAAAGGCTGGAAGTTTTGGCAAAGATAAGGCAACCTTGGTCAGTATCTGGAATTATATTTGCTATTTTACCTAAACCACTCATAATGCAAACTGAAACAAGCACATTGCATGCAGATTATTCAAGTCTCAGGGAAATGTATATGAAAGATGGATTTTGATATGGAATTACTATGGAAGGGATAGCCTGGACAGAGATAAAAAAATCCATCATTGAACATGTGCTCAGTGGTTCATTGGACATTAATCTTGTAGGATCATAAAATTCTGGTGAATTTTACCTGTGCATATCTAACTAATGATACATAAGTTAGAATTTTGACATATATCTATGTCAAAAAATTAAATTCTCTTATTCCTGAGTATTTCAAATGCTTTCATCCTGTCAGGTCCCAAAGGACCTGTCAGGTGGTCTAGTCCGAAATCACAAACAATACTGGAATAGATTTTAAGGTTCTCCTGGTGTGCAACAATACACAGTGTTCTCTGTGGCTGCTAAATGTGGGTTACACTCACATGAAAGGGTGCAGTGAGTGATAGGCCAGCTCATGGTTTGGTCTCTTAGGAAAGGGTTCATTCTGTAAAGTCAAAAATAGGCAGCTACTCAAAGCTGATGGCTTATTTTATATTCATGGGTAGAGATATAATTCTTCCATTTTCTCTTAGGTATATGATTTTTCAGGAAGAATCCTGGACCTGCCTATATATTTCTTTATTTCCTATACAGAAAATTGATTGATGTCAGGAAATAGCTCCCCCAAGGCTGTTGGCATACAGTGAGAGAACAAATTGCGGAACATTATCTCATTCCCTGTAACTTTTCACATTTTTATTTGTGTTCATTAAGCTGTCACATGGTTTTGAAAGGCTCTTTTCACTTTTCAGTAAGGAAATAATTCCTGCCCTTGCTGAAAATTATTATTATTATTAGGTAAAACCTAGATTAAACACTTGATAAAGGTCATCATTCTTAGCATTTTCTTTTCAGAGACATAAATATTTACATCTCTTTTTTTCCAGAGAATATGCTATTTTCATGTTACTTTTCGAATCTGCATTTTTAGGTAAACCTCTTGTTTCAGTGTTATTATCACTACAATTATTTAGGCTCATAACTGAGATAGCAATATTATATACAGCAATAATTAACTGTTTTTCAAGTTAAATAAATTTTAAAAAAGTTGTTTCACTATCTGAAGTTTTGTGGTTGAATTTTTGGTTCCACTGAAATCAGTGGTGAGTTATAGGCAATAACTTTCTTCAACACACTTGGCCATATATATTCATAGACCATATACATACACATATACATATAGATACACATATAGATACACATATACATATACATATACTGTGTTGTATTATATGGTTATATGTATAAGGGTGTCTAAGTATTTCAACAACATTACACAAATACAGACTTTTTTCATCCATATGAAATTTTGATATTTATACTGTGCAAAGTTTGTGGTACTGATTCATTACATTGTTGTAGTTAAAACATTTGAGATAAATTTTTATACTATTTCATAATTTTTTTTTTCCTTTTTAGCTTCCCCATGGGTAGATAAAAGTCGAACTCCTAATAAAATAGATCTGTATGATGTACGCAGAAGACCATGGTAAGCCTTCTTTTTAAAGGTTTGGTGTATATATATACAAATCACTTTCTAAATATTTCTGTTCTGTTTCTCTTTGTTTTTAATGGTACTTAATCTTAGATGTTATTCTTTTCTTTTTAAAACTAGTTAGTTTTTCTAAATAAACAATTTTCAAATTATACTCCTTGTTATGCAATATCTGCTACAGTTGTTGAACTATTGGATTACATAGAGTTTTCATAAGAGGATAACTATCAAATAAGTGTAAGACAGTTAAAACTCTGATTTTGTGCCAAAATCAGTTACAATCCAGAGTATTATACTGAACCATTCTTCTAGACTTTTGCAAATATTTAAAAAATGTCTCAGTGGTTTAGACCAGCAATAAAATCACTAGTTGTATAAAAGATGGGAGAGCGGTGGGATTACTTCTTATGATTTTTTTATGTAAGCCTCTCAAGACATAAAGCATTTTGATACTTGGATATAGTTGGATATATTTTTTTTCAAAGGACTAAGTATTTCTGCCTAAGCTGGGCTGAGTAATAATTCATCTGTCATCAAGATCTTTAGCTCTGAAATAGCATTCCTGCTTTTCAGTTATGTGATAACAGTGAATTTTGATTAGTGTATCCTATGTCCAGACTACCTTAATGTGGTTTAGACTTAGATTTACTTAGGAGACACAGCAAGAGAGGAATTGACACCTAGGTTTTGAATTAGCTACAAGAGGATTTTGTTGGTTCAGCTAGTTTGAGTTTCTAGACCACAGTGTGTCTTCCATCACACACAAAAAAATGTCTATGCAAATTTATGTACTTCATACCATTTATATATTTCAGGTATATCCAAGGAGCTGCATCTCCCAAAGACATGCTTATTTTAGTGGATGCGTAAGTGTTTAACGTCTGAATATTGACATTAGCAGGATAAAAGTACTTTGATACATTGAACAAATCTCAGTCTGCTGAAAAATAGAGGGAATTAACAGGTCTTTGTATGCAAGTTTCAAAAATCTTGGTATGAGCAAAATAACTATATAATAGAAAATAGTTACAAAAAGCCCAAACCACACATGAAAATTATTTAAATTGGAGGCAAGAAAATGTTTTTTTTAAATCACTTCAATATTTTTATGTTTTCAACTTACTAATTACTGGAGCAATCAAGTTGATATTTCTCATGTGCATGCCAAGAATTTTTTTTAAAGCACAAACCTACAAACGAAGCATTACAATAGATGTGATAATGATTTAATGAGCCTGAATGATAAGAATGTGTGTGGACTTTGTTTTTTTTTTCACAATACAGATTTAAAAATTGCCAAGTTTTGCTGCTATAAAGCATTGCTAGAAAGCAAGCAAAGAAATGAATAAAAGCTTGCTCTCTGCTTCAGCAAGGCTTCTGTGGTGTAGGCAATGTTGAGGGACTGAAGGGAGCATTCAACCTGACGTGTCAGATTGCTTTGTGCTGAAAAGCTTCTCAGGCATAGAATTTGCATTTAATGTTTTTACTTGTGGTGAAGTGCTGGCATAGAATTTGCATTTAATGTTTTTACTTGTGGTGAAGTGCTTTCATATCAGCAGTGAGTTTTATCAACATTTGTTATTTCTTCACTTCAGCTTAGGTTTTTGCCTTGAATCAAAGAAGCTGTCATTTGCATCTCTGGAAATCCAGAGCTGTAAATCTGTGTGTAGGAGTATAAAATGTTTAGATAATTCATTTTCTGAAGGTGGTAAACTCAGATTTCTTGAAAAGGAAATTAATAAAGGATGTTGCATTATGACCTCATCTAAGGCACAGGACAGAAACTTTGTATGCCAGTTTTGGACTTACTTTAATAATTATAAATAGTTTAATAACATTAATGATGAACTGGAGAATTCAGAAATTTGAAAATTTTAGTGTGAATGTTGGTGGGAGTTCTGGTGGGTGCTCTGTATTTTCTTTTAATGTTTTACATAATATTTGCTGAATTCAACTTTTCTATTCTGGGTTTTTTTAGGAGTGGCAGTGTCAGTGGATTGACCTTGAAGCTGATCCGCACATCGGTCATTGAGATGTTGGAGACCTTGTCTGACGATGACTTTGTGAATGTAGTTTCTGTGAGTATCTGCTCTTTCCAAAAAATTTGCCTTGTCAACAAAGCCAAAAGCAAATTACTTTTAATACTAGATGTGAGACTTGAATGTTAAGCTGCAAAGAGACTTAAAATACATTGTTTTCTTATAAAATAAAATGTATGGCCTAGATTTGATATTATATATACATGTGAGTGAAGGGCAAAAGTAATTTAAATTAACTCCTGCATAGCTAAATTCTCCTTTCCAATATAATTCTATGGTCTGTATAAAACATCTCCCATTAGATTGCTATATGGAAATCCTCTTGAAATAATTGCTGGTTCCCAGACTTTCCACAGAGAAGATATTTGGATTGCTCATGTTGTTTGATGCATAATGACAGTAGATGTGGAGCCATATATCTGACCTCCCAAGAAATGTTTCTGAGAAGTTCTACAGTTCTTCACCACTTGATGGGTGGCAAAAGAATTTTTCTCATAATAAATAATAAAATAGAAGGAAGAATCCATGAAGAAGGTATGGGAAATTTTCCATTTTCAGGTGAATACCTTGGATGTCATGTTCTAGCCTTAGGCAAAGCTTTTTAAATTTTTTTTATTAAGCTGTTCAACTGTAGAGTTTTGATTCTAAGGATTTAGGACATATTCTTAAAAACAAGAGACAGCCTCAATGAGTAACTGGAATTATTTTGGAGATAATTTCCACTTGTAGAGTCATGTTGTAGCCAGCCTAAGGGAGAAAGACCTGAAATATAACTAAAAGAAATCTTTTTATAAACCACTTATTGCTTCATTGTTTGCTGACAGTCTAGCTAGAACTTTCTGAAAGGAGCAGACAAGCACTTACTCCTGATGGTGTTTCCTTTAAAGTTTTTAATAGTGGATAACACCATTTTCCTTGGTCTAAATTGCAGTGATAAAACAAAACAAACCTCTAATGTTTTTTATTATTGTTATTAATGGAAATAAGCTTCTCTGTAATGGTACTGGGGAGCTGAGATCTTCATTTCACCGATTAAAAAAAAACCAACAAAAACACTTGTAATCCTAAATGGATGGAAATTGATGACTGTGTTCAGTGGAGCTGTGCCAGCTTTCACTGCTGGAAAATCTGGACCCTCTACTACCTCTTGATTTACACATATTTCCAAACTCTTTTGTTACATTTGCTCCAAGATGGCCAGAAATAGTGTATTTTAATATACTATTAATATACTATTTAATATACTAATAATAGTATATTTTAATATACTATTTTCTATATATAGAATATTTTAATGCTTAGCCTTCCCTAGGCTGTGAGTATTTTATTAGCTAAAGTTCACTATTATTCTAATGAGGCCTCAAGGTTGGGATTTGTGTCAAAAAAGGATCAGTAATCCTTAAATATTTTCTACAGCATATTTCCCCAGGGGTTTGTTCTTATAATATATAAGGGCCATTTTTTCCCTTTGAATGAACTTTAGAGGCTCACATCAGAAATTTGATTGCAGAACCAAAGTGGACATTTTGGTCATGTTGTTTTCATCATCATCATCATCACATGCCTGTGAGGGCAACAATCACAAAAATGTCCATAAAAGAATAGGGCATCTCTAAAATTTCATAAAGTTCTATTTGGTGTTGTGCCCTTATAATTTACAAGTCTTTATTAAAAGTTTTCAGTATTATAATTACTTTTGTATAACCTGTGCTTTCCTGTATTCAGATGATTTATTAATGGAATTGTGGTGGCGGAGTAATGACATATATATAAAATATTTTATTTCTCTGATAGACAGGAAGTCATAGCTATAGAAAACAAATGGTTGTACTACTATACGGCATTCTATAAGTAACAGAAGTGAACACAGAAGTTTGGTCCTTGAAGATTTTTTTTACATATTTCTTTTGTTTTTTAAAGATTTGGCAGAATCAGTTTAACAGTTGAACTAGATAATCTTCAAAGTCTTTTTCGACAGAAATGATTCTATGGGTCTGTCATCTTGATTGACAAATATTCCATAATGGAGTAGGTATACCTGAATTTCAGCTCTGGTGTTTTCTTAGTAAACTCAACACACAAAATATCAACTTAAACATTTTGTTCTAGTTGAAATAAATACAACTAATTCTATGGGGTTTTTTTTAATTTATACAATATATTGCATGTTTTTGCTTAAGAACATTATCACCTGAAGCATCCCAGTATTAGACATGACAGGGTAATGGAGAAGTCCAAAAAGCTAGGTGAAAATGTTCAGTTAATGCAGCATTAGCATATGGATGTATGAACACCAACACTAACTGGAAGTTCTGTACAATTTCTCTTTCCCTCATGGATCTTTTGGCCTAAAATGTGACAGTTGTTTTATGGCTTGTTAGCTTTAATAACCATGGAGTCTTTGGTCTGGGGTTTTGAGTTAACTAGAGAGCTGTTTCAGTGCTAACCTCTGCCAAGATGTTGTCCCACAAAGCCCACATGCACAATGATTCCTGCTCACAACTGAAAGATGTGGATTTGAGTTCATGTCAATCACTTCTTAAAAGTGACAGGAGGATTTAACAAGCTGTGCCTTGTATATGATGAAATCCTAGAGAAAAAAACCCTTAAAGTAGATGTACTAAAAACATTAGTTCTACTGAATAAACATAGCTCCTGCATTTAATTCCAGGGAAAGAAAGGTTGAAAGAACTATTGAGTGGTAAGAAGATAGCCAGGGGTTAATATATCATGGCTCCCTTTGGGATTTGCATGTTCCTTATCTGAAGTGCTGTGCTTTGTTGCAGGGAGAAAACCTGCTGTTTGAAAGGGCTTAAATGTATGAGTTATACAGCTGTTTTCCCACTAATCCGGTTATAGGCTTTGATAGCAGCGAGCGGTAGATGATAGGGGCAGCAATTCTATCCCAGCACGTCGTGATTTAGTGACTTGGTTTCAGATGTTGACACAGAGAGTGTAATTTGTTTGTGATTGTGGGTAGTGCGCAGGAGAAATGTATTTCAAATCTGCAGAGGTGCAGAAAGCCACACAAAGGAGAAACCTCCCTTACAGCAACAGATGTGTTAAAGGTCAGGAGCTGTTGTACTTTTTAAATTCACTTAGCCTTTATAAAAATTCAAACTAGTATTTACTGTTTAGGAACTGGAAATTAAATGTCATGAGCATACAAGATAGAACAGAATCATATTGTGGGAAAATTGAAAGCTCATCTCCTGCTTTTGTGCAGTTCTGTGCATTGAGTAAACTCATAGGGAAGGTGATTTCTGCATGAATAGATTTCAAAGAAAAAACTGTGCACCCAGCCTACAATATTATTTTTGTGGATAAAAAAAAATCTGTGGATGATACACCTCTTTTCCCATTGATTTTTGATAGCAGTTTTTCATGTAATTCTACAGCTCAGTGGTTGCAAACCTGTTTGCATTGTCTCTCTTACTTCTAAGTTGGAAGAATCTTTACACCTTCCTAATTGAAATAGTTAAATATGGTAACAGAGGGAAAAGAAAGTTTTGTCATAGTCTTTTCAATATCTCAAAGGGCTTCTTTCCCTTTTTGCTACATGATCCATCCTGCATTTTGCAGTTCATATTGCACCTATATTATCTTACACACAGAGAGATGTTCCATTTATTCTGGGAACTACTTTCTTCAGTTCATTTTAAAAATTAACATCCCATGGGTGGAAACCTTAGCCTGAAGTCTTATTGGGGGGAGGAGGATGCTGGATTCTACAGCTGGGTAGCATGTCATGCCTTTACTATCTTTGCCAGAAATTTTAGCTTTGTGAGTGTACTTCTGTTCGTTTGGCAAAAACTTGAAGAATCTTATTTAAAAATAACTTAAACTTTGTTCCCTTTATTATTTCAATGTAATGTTTTTAAGGGGCCTTAAATTAAATTGCATGCTTAAATGGTATGATAGATTGTTTTTATTGTGTTTTTGACTTTTGTCCCAGAAAAGTGCAGTGGTGCTTAGTTTTTCCAAAAGCATCACTACTTGAGGAAGAAATTAAACATGATCATGGTATCAGTGGCACTGAAGTATTTCTGTTGGTGGATCTAGAGGGAATCAGGAGGACTCCTGTATGAAGGGATTTTCCCATGTACTTTGTTTCTTACTTTTTCATTTTCCTTAATAGACAAGACTGAGGGGAAAATTTAAAGATGCCTGCCATATTTTCTATTATTTGACAAATAAAAAACTAGATAGAGAGTCAGGTTCCCTCTACAATAAGTATGTCTGCATAAGAACCTCTCCTAGTGATTTAATTCCGAAGCATTTCGTGTGGCTGCAATTAACTGTACAGGCTCCTCATCATCATAGCTGTGTGAGGCAGTAAACAAATACATGTTATTCCTTTCTTTGGCAGGGTACATGGTTTGGTTTTTTTTTTTCAAACACTGAAAAGTGATAGAAGGGCAAGATTAAGTCTGAGTGTTGAACTTCCTGATTCTCTTAGCAGCAATCCATCTAACTGACCTTGCAGTTTGTCTTAAATTGAATGGTTCATTTTCAAGAAAAGGGGAACAATGATGGCTGCAGATAAACACATCTTTGTAGCAATATTCCTTAATGGAAAATCATTACCATTCCCTAATGGTAGGTCATTATCTTGCGTCTTCCATATTCAAGGAGCAAGTGAATTAAATGTGGTTTTTTCATACAGGTATATTTAATAAGCACTGTAGGTGCAGGGTTAAAAAAAACCCAAGGAAGTTAGGATCAAAATCTAGTATTCAATTTATTCATTGCTAATAATTACAGGTAGAGGAAGGCTATGTATCCATGGAAATATATGTAGGGGAAATATATCTGAAGGACACGTTTAGCAAATGTAATGAAGAAAAGCATTCTGCAAATAGCAATGAGGAAAATTTGGAAATTATGGAAACCAAGGCATTATTAAGAAGTAGGAAAGAAATTTCTTTTTAGCAGTAGGAGTTACAGTACTATAAACAGCATCATATAATATATTGTAGAATTATGTTTCTTTTTACCTTGTCTCCAAAAGGAAAGTCAAGGAAGGAGTCAGTGAAGAC